CGACTGTAAATAGATTTGAAGAGCTTACACTTATTGGTTTGAGATAATTTGTCGAGATAACAAAAAAAAACTGAACTGTTAGAAGCAAAACTCTTGATTGAAAAACGGCATTCATGTATTAAGACTAAATCTATTAACAATAATAACATGTTTCTATGAAGTGACATTATTATTCGAGTTTATAGACTACCTAAATTTATGTTATTTTTGAGATGAGTAGATGAACCCATCTGATTACTTATCGTTGATTAATATGAATCAAGCCAAAAAATTCTCATATTTGATAGAGTCAGTGTAACATTGTTCTACTATACACTAATTCCCGTATAGTCAGTGTTGACTGAGTGTCAGTTTTTCGGTGACTATCAGTATTGCAGTGCACTTGCTGTCAGTTTTCTAGTATTTTCACTAAAACTGCACATCCCTATAATCACCGAATATGAAACTTCCAAAAAAAAGTATCTCACAACTTCAGAACAACTATTCTATTCCGATTGAAAAATTTCATTAAAAGTATCAGAGTACGGATCGATCAGGTTCGGGTTATGGTCTGGAAATTTAAGACCCAACGAGTTCTAATAAGATCTGCAACAGAGTTACCGTGGCTGGACTAATAGAAGAATATTTTAAGATCAAAACAATAAGATAGTAAATTTTACGATCGTGCTGTTACAAACATTGATTGTTGAATGTAAATCTTTTTGTTGGTTTTACATGTGTCACAAATTTCCTACATTTTCGTTGTATACTTTCTTTTACCTGTTGACTTTATGTCTTCTCATATTTTGTTTTAGTTATCACGATTACAATTTTTCAATAATACGAAACAGAACTGATATGATCCAAGGTGTCACTCTGATTGAAGCCTGTCTAGCATGAAAAAATTTTATGGATATTAATCTCTCTGTTTAATTTGCTGTTTCATGCAAGAACTTATTTTTATTTTATCTTTATTAAGATAAATTAAGTGAACAACTGAAACTAGAAAAATAAATTAATGCAGAGTTGTAAAATTAAACTTATTCATAGAATCCATTATCTCAATTGGCCTGGTTTGATCTGCAGACCATTTAATGAATTTTAGCCTAGTCTACATGCATTTCATGCGAGAGCAGCTAAAAGTTGCCTGCCGGTAGCTCTGTTCTGTAATGAGGAGTGCATAGGTGCATGGAGAGCCGAAAGCTTCGACTTAAAACTTTCATTCACCGATATATTTTTGTTTCTGCACGTATTAATCAAGGAATTTAAGTATCTATTGAGTTGATCAATATTTTTATCGAAGGACGCTCATGACCTTGTATGCCGTCAACCATGTTTCTATCCATTGAATAGAATAAAAGAATGGTGTTGCAAAACGATGTAATCGAGGTTTGGCTTGTGAGAAAAGTATATTCAACAAAAAGATCCCAAAAGAGAGAATTCGTTAATATTAAACAATTAACAAAGGATTAGAACAAATTTAGAGTTTCTTTGTACCAAATAATGATAGATAACATACCAGTATGTAAGACTTTTTAATTATTTAGTACTAAGTCAATACAATAATCTGCCAAAGTTTCAAATGAATTTTCTGTGTTAGAATATCAGAACGATGAATTTTTAGATCATTTCAAAACTTCTGAGAAAGTTCTTCTATAACAATTATGTAGTACTATTTTTTGTATTATTTTATTCAAGTAATAAGAAAATTTAGTTCTACTCAAGTCCGATATCGAATTTTTCAAAGTAAAAATTACCTAGATAATCTGTTTTAAAAGTATTAAGTTTATGTTTTCTTAAAAGAATATAATATATGTATGAAATTATATTTCATGTTTCTGTAGATATAAGTGGATATGCTTTGAACTCTTACGTAGTATTATTTTCCGAATAAACTTTGCGATCATCTCTTCAATAGATACATAGATAACTATTTTAACTACATAATATTCAACTCGAAGGCTTACCTTGTTTTATAAAATTATTTTGAATCAGAACTAATTCTTTAATGTAGTAGATTGAAAATATTGTTATGAGGAGTGTTTTCTATTTCAAAAAAAATATATATTTCTAACTTTGATATTGTTATCACAATCATCTTTGGCTTTAACTTTCTAAACTATCATAAATCAATGTCATAAACAAAATAGCATGAACTATTGAATATCATGAATATAATCCATACGTCAAAATTCACTATCTGGAAACGTCAACTATATATTAGCAAAATTTTAATCAAGTCTCAAAATAACTACTCATGTCGACAAATACACAGTTCATGTAAGCATATAAACGATTGTGTGCGTTTCATATTTCTCCAGATATAGAATATTAATTTTTATATCTTAAATAAAACATATATAAGTTTTATTAATGCATTTATTTATTTTCAAAATTCAAATTTGATTTTCATGCAATAAGTTTTATATATTCGATATTTTGATTGAGTATTATCATAGAGATAACAATCATATTCCATAGATCTGATTTTCTTGGATCGATATATATATATGGAATATGATTGTTTTCTGTAGAAATACACTCGATTGAAAAACCAAATGTTTACTGGTATGTAAAGATGTACTCGATATAAATTATTTTATCATAAAGAAGTTCATCGAACTACTGCTAGTTCAGTAAAATTAACATTTATTATTATTTTTTTTATAAATTTCGAACTATCTTGAGTTTTATTGTATTTTTTGATTATATGAAGTTGCACAAGCATAGCAAAAATATATTTATCATATGTCATCCAAAATTTATCATGCTTGATTGATAACATTATTAAGAAAGTAGTTGATTAAAAAGCATGATAAAATATATTTGTTGAATTTATTATTTTTTTTTCATTACAGTGAAAAAAAACGTCAGTCACGAACTCACTGTGGATTCATTTTTATTGTTGTTGTCGTCTTATAGAGTCTAATGCTAAAGGAAGTTAAGACATAATGATTTTTTATATGGTTAAGATAAAAATATAATAAAAAAGGTGAAAAGTGAATTTAATAATATTATTTTAATATTTTTATTCATAACATATTTTATGAGCTGTATCATATTCAGATGAGATCATCAGAGTTTGCTTACTATCTAAATGATTAAACGCATATATTCAAGTTCTCCTTATGTTTTCTTGTTTTTAGTCATGCATCATACAGATTTACCTTTTCTGTCATATACGTATATGTAATGAACATTTCTCTTTCCTTCTCGTCTTCTCTCTTTAACTTTGTTTTACGAGTCTTTCTTTTTTCTTCGTAATCTATGGAATTTTTCACTGTACAGATTTTTCCTTTATGCTATCGCTTTACATATATTTATTAGTTTGATGTAAATATGGATTGGAAATATTTTTTGTTTTTAAAAACTATTAAAAGAAATCAAAATACTCTTGAAACTTACGAAATATCATACATGAAGGTATCTAATAAGTTTTTATTCTCTTCATATAATATTCTTTTCTTATGCGTTTTTTACAGTAGAATGAACTAGTATTTAATATAAACGAAGTTAGCAACCGATTCGAGTTTTTTCGAAAAATGATTCGACTCCTTGAGTAAGCCAACTAAGACATACAGTGGGCCAGATGCAGCTCGACAAGCTCTGTCGAATGGTATATGTTTCATTCGATTGAAAGCAAAACGTTCTTGACAAGGAGTCCTGGGCTATCTAAACAGCTCGATGAGTTCTATGGAATAATCTATGTTTCATTCGCCCGAAAACGAAATATCTTTGACCAGGAATCCTGGAACTCGAAAGTGAGTTCTGATCTGTGTACCCTCTGATGATTCGCTTCCACTGAAAGCAACCAGTCATTGGGCATGAGCCCTGCGATACCTAAAACAGGATTGTGAGTCAGTATTTCCTCTGACGATTCACTCGATAAGCTAAGCTACTCGAGAAATTGAGCTCGTTCGCTGTAGCTAGACGAGTTCTAACGGTTGACTCGAGTTTCCTCAGCGTTGGGAATCGTGAAAGCAATCGTCATAACGAATACCCATCTAAACCCTCATTCTTGGCATTCCAGTGAAATTGAAAAACGAGTATTGTTTCAAATCGATCGGATCATATACTAAGTCCTAGAGATCGTCAAGCTGGATTGATCAGGTTTTGCCTCATACGTCGTTCATGCAGTTGAGGAAGTTGCTAGAAAAACCACCGGTATGGTATCAATTTTCGGTATTCCGTAGGTATCGTCAAAGATTATGGTGGTTCCGGCTTTTGAGCAAATCGTTAAAGAAAATACCACCTGAGAATCTGAGTTTAGGCACTCCAGAGTTCTTCGTCAACAACGGTTTGCTTTCAAGCGAGTGAAACATACACTATTCCATAGAACTTGTCCAGCTGCGTCGAATGAGCTATGTCTCATTAATGATTCACATTCATTTATGTCAGTTAACTTTCATTAAAAATGTGAGTACACCATGCGATAGAGCTTGTCGAACTGCATCTGGTTCTAGGGATTCCAGTTTATGATTCAGGAACCCATATCGACTTGGTAGAGATCAAAAGAATAAGTACGTCCATAAGTTTCAAAATAATCAAAAGCGCGCTGAAACAAATTTTTCAAGGGCGTGGATGTGGATGTAGTTGTTGGTCGCTTTTTCTGTTTATACTCACACTACACCTACACTCAATTCTTCATTTATTTTATAACTCAAAGCTGCATTGATGAAAAGAAAAATTTTGATTGTAATAATGCTATCGACTAGTTCTTCATATGCATCAGTTTTGTTTACAATTTTCATAATTAATCTAGTTGTTTGCTTCATTTGCTATCTTTATAACGTCAACTTGAATGATGAAGCATTTAAGACATATTGCACAAAGCACAAATTTAACCTTTTCAAAAGAGATTTTGCGATAAAAAAGGTACGAGATAAAAAGAAAAAAAAAGAAAAACTATTTGTTGATGTGCGCACACTAAATAATTGTCTCACTTATCTGATTTTGATGATAAAGACATACGTTTTTTTCAAAAGCATTTTATTCATATTCTTCTATATTGATACAAAAGAATGCATGTGCAAGAATTAATTATCTATCCAGTAAAATCCTGTGCTGGTGTTAAAGTGCAAGAGGCACTTGTAACAAAGTATGGTTTAGCTCTTCCATCGAATCCTCAAATATTTGACAGGTAGCTTCTTAACTAAAACTTATGAAGAAATTGATTTTGAAAACTCTTCATCAGACGATGGATGGTAGTAAAAAATGGTCGACATCAAACACAGCGTGTTCTACCTCGTATGGCGCTTATTCGACCTTCCGTTGTCAAAGATGGTCTCTGCCTTCAAGCTCCTAATATGCCTGACCTACACATTCCTGTCAATCCATTGCCAAAAGAATTGATGCAGTGTTCGTAAGTAACTTCGTTTTGAAGGGAAAGATCTTAATGATATATATATATATATATATATTTTTTTAAATTAGTTGTTGGGATGTTCCCATTTTCGGTCTACGCTATGGTGATCATGTCTCCCAATGGCTTCGAACTTTTTTGGAAACAGAGGATGAACTCGACTTAGTCGTATTTGACGATCAAAAATTTGAAGGTCGTTTGTGCAAGAATGCTGACGTACCTAACAATGCCCGTGATGGCGATGTGGCTGCTTATCATGATATGAGTCCAGTACATTTGTGTTCTTTAGAATCGGTTGCTGATCTCAACACACGATTAAAGAAAAAAATCCAAATATATAATTTTCGACCGAATATTATTGTGGCCAATGTGAACAAACCTTATGCAGAGGTAGAACAAGATGTTTTAATAAAAAATGAAAGAATCATATGATATATTTATGGTAGGATTGTTGGCGAGAAATCGAGGTTGGTGAAGTTAAATTGACTTGGATTACAGCGTGTACTAGGTCAGTTTCTTCATAGATATTTTTTTCGATATTGCTTTTTTTTTGTTTGAAAGATGCCTCTTACCAACAGTGGATCCCGAGACAGGTGTTAAAGATCCCAATCAAGAACCATGGAAAACATTACGAAGGTGAGATTCAATCTTATATCTTGCTTTTAATCAATGACAGTATTTTGATTCAGTTACCGTTTGAAACCGGAAATGTATGGTGTTTACGCTTTGTTCGGCATCAGAATGGCACCAACTGATGATAAAAACAATGTTTTGGGTATTATTCGTGTGGGTGATAGAATTCAAGTGACAAAAGATGAACCAAACTTTTGGAAAAAAGAATGATTTTGATTAATAAAAACACTATTTACTGGCATTAAATTGATAAGTGTTACAAAGAAAAGGGTCGAATAAGAGTATTCGCTTATGAGGAGTAATCAATACAGAGATGTGTGTTCTTGATATCTTAAATTGATGTTGTTAGAACAAACTATGGATCCGAAAATGAATTATACCAGCTAATATCTTTGCTTCTGCTATATCATTATTTGTTCGTTAAACATAAATGCAGTCTGGCTAAGTAAATAAATGGCAGTAAACCAATACATGTGGTCTTGGTGAAGTATCTGTCATAGTATTGCTTGACATTATTACCAATCAGTCAAATTTTTTTACCTAACCGACAATTTATACAAAATCTACACGAAGACAACGTTTCAGTGCATTTATACTCAATTTTTTTAATCGCAATTGATTGAATTCTGAGAATTACCGTATTTTTAAGAATAGTTTACATACAAAACAGCCTAAGATAAAGTTGCTTCTATTATAAAATAATCAGCCTACCAGTTTTGAGTGAAGTGATACATGTGAAGCCTACTATCATCCTACTGATATTTAGTTTACAAACTTAACCTTCTTCTTTTTCTGACGATTAGTTATAATCATTTTCTTAATTTTCTTGCATGAGAAACAGTCAAGAGCTCTACGCTAGTTTGTTAAACATCCATTTCAACAACCAATTTTCTTGTTGAAATTTGAGTTCGACGCTATTTTACCATGAAGATATTGTCTTTGTTTGAACTGTTCGTAGACAGACAAGAAAATATAATAGACTGATAGAAATAGTATTGTTGAACATTTTTATTCACAAATCAAGTTTATTTATCAATGGAACAGAAAAGATTTGTAACTTAATTGACAAAGTATAAAGCTAAATAATAGACCATAAGTTTATATTACCAAACAAAATAACATATTTCATTATTCTATAGGTTTTGTAATAAGTTTAATCTATTGAAAGCTGCTTGTTTAAATCAACATCAACAGTGATGATTGACGATAAATGACAAATATTTAACTCAAAACAATATCCACTTTCGATCCATATTCGTTAACAAAAGGAGTAAAACCATTACTATTATAGATATTGGCTGACCGATACTTGCTAAAAATGAACACATCTACATTGTGATTTGGGAATATATTCTTCAAACGATCCCGGAGACTATCACGTCTTTTCTCTATATCTGTTTGGCTTTTTGTATCATAAACAAAAGGAAATGCTTTGGCTTTGATATCATCCGAATTCATAAAAGGTCCTGAAGATGTTGATAATTTGTAAATGTCCAAAAAACCATTATCAGTTAGTTGAACACGTAATAATTGGTTCCCATAGTGCGAACTCTACCTACCGAGTCCTGTATATTTACATACCACAAATGTAACTGTAGGATATGCTTTCTGAAAATTTTCTATAATATTTGCTGTGGTGACAGCCATTCTGATCTTAAAAAGAAGAATCATATTAATGAAGGTTAATTAAATCTTCTAACAAATAATATAACTGTTGCTTCTGTCGAGCACTGATATGTCTAATCAATTAATTCGTAGTCAGAAAGACTCACTAGGTATTTTATATATATTAGCTAAAAATGGGTGTGGGTGGGTGTGAGTGTGGTTGAAGAGAACATTAACACCCACACCCACCCACCACCCACCCACACCCCACCCACACCCTCAGTCTGGAACTGATAGCAATGTCATACAGTGACTTCCAGTGGGTGGATTTGTGTGATATTCTTCTCCAATTATGTTTGCTAAATGACTAATTCATGTTTTTGTTATTAAAGAATTTTTGTAGTTTCACGTGGTTGGGTGTAGAGTGTGTATTATGAAATAGGCAATCATGATTGACTTCAACCTCTTTCATGAGCCAGATTAGTAGCTTTAACTCTGCATTATTTTAAATGTTACACTCGAAAGAATGTTTTATGGCTATGCGTGCGTTAATGAGACGACTGCGAGAGGTTTTGGCCTGATTACGTACCTTTTGATGTAGTCTGAATGAAATTCAGTGAGAACTCGACACCGTGCTGAGTGAAATATCCTTCTCTTAATGAGTTCCTTGTCAGTTCTTTCATTATAAATAAACATCCAAGTTTTGTGTGGTTCTATAACCTTTTTATGCATGGTGGTGTTCAATTCTGTCTGTGTTTGATAAGAAAAAGAAAATAGAACGAAGAATATGTAATTATTATAAATCTAGACTAAGGAAGAATGAATTACATATTTCTATATTTTTATAGAGTCAAACGGTTTTATCTCATACTAATAGGTTTCGAAGAGAATTTTCTTCAATTCACGGCAAAGAGTATCTGTGTTCGTGCGATCGATGCATATACAGATGGGAACTGCAAATTTTCTACTGAATGTCTTGAGGCTGTGGGTGTAGCATAGTGGGGGAACCAGACAGACACAAGCAAAAATATTCTCTTTTAGAATCTAACCAGTTGCGTGATACGTGCATACGTGATTTATCTTTTTCTAAAATACTGGTTTTCAAAGTTGTATAGAGCCCTAGAAAAGAGTCTTACAAGGCCTTGATACAGGAGTCGGCATGAATACAGAAAGTCAAGCGCATGGATGGGTGTGCGTGTGAATTTGATTAAGGAGAACAATTATACCATCACCCAATCCACATTCTGTCAGTGATGAAATGTCGAGAGTAGTCCATAGAATCGATTGTTTTATCTTTCAAAGTTGTCATTACTTTTCTATGATTCTATGATCCTGCTGAAATTTAGCGTCCGATGATTTTGATTCTATTTCATTTCACAGTTGTAAATTCATGTCACCATGATCACTAACTTCTTGTTCGGAGTCTGAAGATTCAAACTACATTCTAGCAAAGCATTCACATCACTCATTACATTACCGTTATCTTCCACTGAGAAGACCACGAAGTGCATCTATCGGCAAATGAATGCACATGAAAATGAATCTGTTAAAGCTAGTTTCTAAGGAAATCAAATCACCGTGAATGTATTAAAGGTAAATTAGAATGAAAAAAATACTGTACGCTTTTTCTAAAAAGTGTTCAATTTCAAGTTTAAAGTAACTTATTCTTGAAAGTTACGATTTTTTGAAATTTCTGCTCAAAGAGACTAAATTGTTATCATGCATAGAGGGACCTTGAGCCTAGAAATTGGTATAATTTGAGTCTATAGGTAACCATGGAATCAGACAAAATGTTATTCATACGAAATGTTATGAAAAATTTCTTGTGTTTTCAAAGTTATTGATAATGCTCTAACAAATAGTATACAGAAGATATTACAATAAATCAGCAAAATTGTTCTTATCAAAAATCATTCTCCTACTCAACATGAAGGAAGTGAAATATCAGTAGGACATCTGATCAAAATATTCAATAAACAACAAGTATATGATGATGATTTTATGCCCAATATTTATTTTTTCTAATAATTTTGCGCACAATAAAAGTAATGAAACTGAATTATTATGCAAAGACAGGCTTTACGCATTGACGGGGACATCCACCACAACATTTTTGTTCACCTTCACAATCATTATCACGAGTGCATCGAGCAATACAAATGCCCATCAGACCGGATGATGATGGTGATGGACACTCGCCCGACTTTTGTAGACTACGTTCGGATGGTTGTTTAGCACGAGGACAACAGACGGCATAAGCATCATTTGGTGCAATGGCGCATTGATGTGTTGATGGACATGCACGACGATTGGGACTACGTCCACAAAAGTAACCTTCGAGTGGAGTCTCATCATTGTCACATGGACTTTTCTTGCATGTACACGTCACGTGTCCATTGGAGTCACGTCGAAAACCGTATTGACAATAGATCATACACATACGTGGACTTGCTTCAGACGAAGAGCTAGCGACTAGCGTAGACGCTACTAAGACGCACGAAATCAGAACAAGACTGAGCAGAGTCATTTGTATAATCTAGAAAAAAATCGATTTAGTATTGAATCCTTTTTAAGATCTGTGGGACGAAAAAAGGTCCAACATTAAAAATATAAAACCATTTCGATTCGATATGAATCCTTTAGATATAATGCACAACTAAATGGTTTCGTATTTTTAATACGGAACTTTTTCCGTCCCAGCATTTTTTCGAGTGTAGTGGTAGAAATAAATGATAGAATCAAAGTGTGTAAATATTTTCAAGGCTCTTCACTTTTATATTATCAATCGTCAGCTGATGAATATACCCACAGAGAAAAAAATTGTTTTTTTTTATTAATGATTAGTATTTTATATTTTAAAAGATAAGATTTATATACACGAGGACAACCAATACAATATTTTTTCTAGGGATGCAACAGTGATGATTATTTACCCGCATTCACTCTTAGTGCTTTGCACAAAATCAAACATGCAGTCAATAATCGATCAGTGTTGGTAAATATCGGCGACTCGACTGGATCGGTTAACACTACTGTTGCGTCCCTTACAGTGTATATGAGTTTCACATTTTAAAACCATCACAGAATGCCTCAATAAGATGTTTGTTATTATAACACAAAGTTGAAATATCAGTCAGGCCATATAGATACAACTCTGTTGTGACTGTCACTCGAAAGAAAGGTCGTCGCTGAAGCCAATATGTAGTGTGATCATATGACGATTGAAAATCACGACGCTCATATAAATATGTCAAGAACATGTTCAATCAAAGTCGTAACTAAACAAGACGAGGCAAATCTTGTTCGATTAGTATTTGCCATTCTGTTGGTTCGACCATTGTTTTAGTTTTCTCTCGTGCCTTTAGTTGAAGAATTAAATGTGTCAAATGTGGACAGATGTTAAATAGATGATAAATTTGTTCAAATGAACGCAAATATTGTAAATTCAAACTGAGATGATTCAATTTGTGAAGAACACTATCATATATATAAAGATTTTTCACTCTAGTCTAATTCATAAAGATGAGTTTTAAGACGGCAAAGATTAGATGTATGGCGCATAAATGTCAACATTCGATCAGTCGATATATATATTTCAGTATAATATATACAACAATTGGTAAATCGAACGAGAGTTGTGTCATATTTCATAGACTAATTCAATGTGGCACATGTAAATAGCGAAGATGATTATGACCAGTCGTCACAATCATCAACCAGAGTTGTTGATACATGTCCGCCGAATCATTAGACGAGTTGATCTTTGTGATCTTGATGGGATTCAAGTTGCTGCATAGGCAATAACTCGACGAAACGCAGCAGTGTGATAAGAATAGTATTCTCAAAAGTAACAGCTCGAAGAGTTGCAAAGTTCACATGGGAATGTACTAAACGAAATTGTTCTAAATCGTCATTGGACACTTTCAGTGATCGATAGATGAATGAGTTCTCATCGAAGGCATTACAATTGATCGCCGTCGATAGATCCATGTACATGGGATACCCTCGAATGACATTGCTAATGCATCGTTGTAGCCCGAAGAAGATTAGAGATAATTCAATAAATGATAAATAGTCGAATATTTCAAGCAATAAATCAATGCTCAAGTCATCAAAACACATCATCATGGTCATGCACAACTATTTGTGTATGATTATATTAATATTGCAAAGAACAGGCAGACAAAAACCGTGCTCGTTAATGTTCTTTTTCTCATCACTATACCTATTAATAGAGATATTTTACATACGTTTCGATGGTTTATCACTTATTCATACAGAAAATGATTCTTCTCTCAAATAACTCGTTATTTTATTAATTCTGTTAAAAGAAACAAACGAATAAAAGCGAAATAAATGTTTGTTTTAGCAATGTAACCATCATTCATTGCCAGAGGTGTTCACTACGACAGAAGATCTGCCATTGTCGAGATGATATTAGGAAACTAAGCCTCACCGTTACCGCAACGAAGAAAATTTGTTTTTTCGATCAACAATTTTTAATCAATAAAATGCCAACAAAAATAAATGAAATAACAAAATGAACCAAAATTTTTAGCATTGTCATATATTCAAGATATCGAGAATGTAGAAGGTACAAACGATGTAAATAGAATTTAAGAGTTGTTTTAATATTTTTCTCACCTTCCAAGATATCCTGGATATGTAACACCTTTCTGTTTGTTTATCAAACTGATCGTTTACATATTCTTTCTCTCTCAATTTTCTCCACATTTCCTTTTCAAAGTTTCTAGATTAGCTTTGGCTAGATTTTGACATATCCTGTGAGTGAAATAATAAAAATGACGTGAAATTCATGGAAAGTATATGATGTATGTATAAATCGAAATCATAGAAAATCAACGCTGTTTTTTCATGAACTCATTTTATCTATTACTCTTTCATCGACACTATTAAAGACAAAATGTCCAAACAAACAACAAGCAGATGGCATGGGAAAATATTCGAAAAAAAGAAGAATCTTTTATTTATAACAATGACATTATGTCTAAGGTGAATTTTCCAAAGCTTGAATGATATTATCAAAGAGAAAGAGCAACTAAAATCTCAATTTGAAAAGATATTTTTATTTTAGTTTTACCTTTGATAGATGATGCAGGTGAATTATCGAATGAGGAAGAATATTCTAATTATGAAATTGATTTTGTTTCACATGTAAGATTCGTTAGTTTGAAAAGGAGAATGAAAATATAAGCTTTTAAAAAAAATTGTAAATGAATTAGAAAGATATTTTTTGACTAATTTTATTGAAACCAACGAATCTTTTGTAAGATTTCAATTATAATAATATCAAATTTTTTAAAATTTTAATCCAATGCATTTATTAAACAAGAAATATCTCTTTCATTTTTATTAATTATTTTTATTGAGAGGTATAAGTCATACTTCAGTAAGAGACCCCAAAAAAAACGCAGATTTTTTGTGACAATAAAACATGAAGAGGAAAGAATTTCATTTTTCAGCACAAATAAGATTACTACTGTGCTTTTTAATAATAATTATTAAGAAATTACAATCATCTTTTATTAGTGAAGATCGTAGTACAGACTATTCTAACAAATAAAATGTAATGATGACATTCGCAATCGCTTTGATGATTTTCTATTTTCGGGATCTTCGTTTTCCACGTTTTGTTTGTGATGTAGTCATTTTCAAATTTTTCACTGTCGACATTTTGCTTTTCAACGTTTTGACATTCATTCCTTTTCGCTTCCTACATTGAAATTTTCGAGTATCTTCGTCTTCACTGTCGCTTTCTTCCTCTGTATCTTCTTCATCTTCTTCCCATTCATTCGATTGATAGTAGCTAGGGTTATTGAACGGTGCAATGTAGGTTCCACAGTCATTTGGGGATGAGTAGTATATTGATCCATCACTATTCTGATAATAGTAGGATCTATCTCGGTTGGAGTAGTGGTATGAACCTGTATCAAAATGAATGAAGAGAGGTCTGGTGTCACTCTATTAACTGAGAAACAAGATAGCATTACAATAGGTTCTTAGTGATAGTACATCATGGTCCTTGCTAATCGAACAAACCTAAAATTAAGCTAATATCGAGCTCTATGCGGTATCTGTTGTCAGACAGTAAAGTTTTCTGATTTTTATCAAGACAAGTTCATTGTGTATTTTCTAACATAAGATGAAAGACGTATATGCTAGGAAACTCAGTTCTGAAGAAATCATATCATTACAATTCAGGAATAATCTGAAAAAGTATTAGAATGCTATGTAGTTTAAGCAATAGTTCTAAACTATTTCTGTAAAGATTACTGATAAAACCATAAAGGTAGTTCTCAATCTTTGAATAATAAATGTATGACATACCACCTTCTGCAGCACCCTCGCCGCGATTATCGTAACGATTGCCAAATTGATTGATACCTCGTCTCCAATTGTTCCAGAAAGTCATGACAATGGATTTGTTGATCGAATATTTGAATGAGATAATTGTGCAAAAGAGACACACTTTGTTTTATGATACGTTATAAACGGAAAATAGATTTTGTTTCAATGCCTTCATTTGGTAGATAAGAGAATCTGGTAAGACAACATAGAGGGACGAAGAACACATTATAAAAAATAAAGAGACACATGACATTTTGCATTGCTCACATAGATTTATTTTGATATATATGCCACATCGAGAGAAAAACAATGTAACAGTACTGCTTTACTCTCAATCTAGGTCATTCTTTGAAATAGTCTGAAAGAACACTGTGAAGCTTTATTAAATAAATGGGCACTTTTAGTGAGAAGCAAATGTTTTGGTAGCAACGGTGCATAATTTCAATGAAGTATGAAAAGCAAACAATATTCAACATGATATTGCAAAAGAATTTCTGTTAAAATAATCTGTGTCCACATTAAATTGATCTAATGATATTTTTTACATGAATCTACTCTCTATGAGATCGAGGGTGTTGGGATGTGGGTGAAGAGAACATTTGCATCCACAACACACCCACACCCTCTCTTATGTCCTACCATTGAGAAATAAACACATTTTTAATGTAGTATGAAAATGTAGTCTGTAAAACCAGCTCGAAGTATATTCGATAGAAACGTTCTTCTATTAATATTTTTTTTATTTTTTTCTATGCGTTCCATTACATTGTTTTCATGATTATTTTATTGATTTTCTTCATTTTCTTGCAATGCATGCGAAAAACATTATAAACTATCTTAAATTACACTGAACAAAGTTAAATGCATAGCTGTAGCTAGTTTTCGAACAGGTGCTCGTTTCGTTTTGCATAATAATTTTTCCACGTACCCGATATTAACGTTGCGCCATACTATGCCTTACTGACTGAAGGATTTGAGTATATGCTAAAGCGGCAACAACCTAGAACATTCGTTGTTCCTCTTTAAATATGCTTTCAAGAAATCGCGCCTCTCGAATCTCGAAAA